ATGAATGAGAGATAGCTGACGCAGCAGGAAATACATGGGTGTGTGGAGACGGGAGTCCAGGAGGATGAGGAGCATCATGGACAGGTTGCCAATTAGTGCCATCAGGAACATGAGAATAATGAGAGCAAAGAGCAAAAGGCCGGCTGCTGACGGTGGGAACAATCCCAATAAGATGAAATCACTCGATGTTTGATTACAGGTTTCCATGGGGCATTCATGTGCTTTTTCCTAAAGGGAGACACAAGCATAATTAAGTTAAATAGATCATATTAAGGTAATTCTGAAATTTTCTCAATTTAGTAACATTATAGATTTTAAATAAAATTTTATAAGTCTCAAAGAAAACACTGGGCTTACCTACTTTGGAAAACAGGAAATTTATTTTATAACCCAGAGATTAATTTCCAATGAGGTAAGCATTTAAGATCAAAATATTTCCTAATAAATCAATAACTTCATAAGAAAAGAAATAGTTTATTATGGCTTTAATAGCTATGAATGTTGGGAACCAGCAGTTAGCGTAATGGCTATGTTGCTGGACTCCCACTTAGTCGACCGCGGTTCGCGTCCCAGACCTGGTGGCTTAAAACTCATGCCAGGCGCATGAGCATGCGTGCCCAAGATCCTGAGAGGAGAATGGAGGAGAAGGGATTGTGGTGTTACCATCCCACCTGGGGGGTGATTTCTTGCTTTCTGTCTCTATGTCTCTCTCTGTCTGTCTGGCGAGCGCACGCGCCCTATAGCAAAAACCTCTCAAAAAAAAATAGTTATGAATGTTTTACCATCTGACATACATTCAGGTAGCCCCAAAGTCAGATGTTCTTTTCAAAATGAATAGAAAATAAATATAAGTGCATACATTATTGACATATACTATAAATAAATTTGTATTATTTTGTTGGCTCTTTTTATTCTATTAATATATTCATTCTTAAGATTTAATCTCTAAAATTGTGTCAGCCTATAGCTTACTTTTCATTTCTGAGTTTGTACATTTAGCCCCGTCCGTCTTTCCCCCGTATAGTTTGGAACTTTGTTGAATACCTGGAGCTTGGGCTCATCTCCGATGCCAGGCTGCCTGGAGCTGGGGCTGCACAATGTGGTCAAGACAATGTCAAGGGTGCTGTCTCTCCCTATCTTCTCTCTCACTCTCTCCCTATGTCTCTTATTTGAGGCATAAATAGATAAACTTTAAATAAAGAAATCTAAATTAAAATTTACTGTTGGTTAATACCCTGCTTTTCTTTGTCCCACAGAGTGGCCCTTGCTATGCAGGAGACCTCCAGTTCTATCCTGGCCAGCAAAGGAAACTGAAGCAGGGGCACCACTGCCTCCTGCCCCACTTCCAGACTCCCAAGACTAGGACCCCACCCCCAAAGAGGTAGGCAGGATTTTTTTTTCTTCTTTCCTCTTCATTATTGTTTTGTTGATACCCTACTCTCCCCTGCCCCACAGAGTAGCCCTTGCATGCTCTGCAGGAGACCTCCAGTTCCATCTCTAGACCCCTGGCACAGCACTCGACTTTTTCTTTGTTTCCCTCTATACTCTTTTCTTTCCTCTTACATTATCCTTTCTTCTTCATCCTCCACCCTGCCAGAGGGATTAGACAGTTCTAGAATCACAGTTCTGAAATTTCCTAGTATAGTAAGATTCCCTGGGATCCTCCCCTGTACTTAACAACCTGTGAATATGAAGACACTACTCTTAAGACACCTGGATAGAGTACACCTCTTGAGACCACATTGCTAAAAACAAAAAAAGAGATACTTCCACACACATCAATTCACAGTGAAAGGGAAACCCACTTGCTCCTAGTCAAAGAAACGTTCTCCTAAGAAGTATTCAAAAGTGAATACATCTTTCAATGTCTAGAAGTAGAAGAAGAGCCTCAGGTCTGAATAAACCAGGAAATATGTATCCATCAAAGGAACAGAGTAACTTCCCTCCATATCTCCTAAAATCTGAGAATGTTACAAAAATATCAGAGAAAGAATTTAGAACATTCATGGTGAACAAATTCTATGAGTTGGAACAGAAAAGAGACAATGAACTAGAGGAGATTAGGAAGTCCTTCCATGATATGAAAGAAGAAATGGACACTCTGAGAAAGAATCAGATGGAACTATTAGAGATGAAGTCTGTAATACAGGAAATCAAAAACTCTCTATAAAGTATTGAAAGTTGATTAGACCATGCTGAAGATCGAATATCTGATGTAGAGGATAAAACCTCTGACCTAGAAAAAAACACCAAGAAGATAGAGAAAATAACAAAAAATCATGAGGATACTATATGAGAAATAATAGATGCCCAAACATCAGAATAATTGGCTCCCAGAAGGTGAAGAAACTAATAAAGGCATGGAAAATATATTCCATGAAATCCTGGAAGAAAATTTCCCAAGTCTAGAGAGGTGCTCAAACATCCAGACCCAAGAAATACAAAGGACCCAAATAGAATCAACCCCAGAAGATCTTCCCCAAGGCACATCTTAGCCAAACTGTCTAAAACCACAGATAAAGACATGATACTAAAACTGGCAAGAGAGAAGCGAGAAGTGACTTACAAAGGCCATCCCATCAGGCTAACACTGGACCTCTCAACCGAAACAATACAAGCAAGGAAAGAATGGGAAGATGTATTGAAAGTGTTAAGGGAGAAACTATTTCAACCAAGATTATTATATCCTGAAAGATTGTCCTTTATATGGGAAAAAAAGATAAAAATCATCTCAGACAAACAAAACCTGAAAGAATTTGCCAACACCAGACCAGCTCTTCAAGAGACCCTGAAGAAAGTACTGCTCCAGGAAAACTAAAGAATTAATAGACAGAAACAAAGGAATAAAAGGCAACTAAGACAATGGCCAACTTAAACGTTGGGACAGATCTGATAAAATCAATAATAACATTGAATGTGTATGGATTAAATTCTGCAATCCAGACAGACTGGCTGAATGGATAAAAAGAAGAAGAAGAAGAAGAAGGAGGAGGAGGAGGAGGAGGAGGAGGAGGAGGAGGAAGAA